ATTTATTTATTTATTTATTGTCTTTTTGAGACAGGATCTCACTATGCAGTTCAGGCTGGCCTTGAGCTCACTTTGCTGTCCAGGCTGGTCTCAAACTTGCAATGATCCTCCTGCCTCAGCCTCTTGAGTGTGGGGATTACAGGCATGTGCCACCATGCCCGGCTCAATCATGTAACTTAAAACTTGTTTGTAATATTTTCACCTTTTTTAAATAATGCAGAAAGACTGTGATATGGAGCAATGATGACAAGTAAGCTCAGATGTAGACGATGAGAGAAATAAAAAGGAAGAGAATAGTTCAGAAAAAAAGGAAAGGAGAAAAAAGAGATACTAACAAATGAAAGAAAAAGACAGGATTTGTTGATACTATTTTTGTAGTGGAGCATTGGTGGAGAGGGGGTTTGAGACGTTATTTGTCGAGGTGCGAAAAAGGAAGAAGAGGGAGGGAAGTATATTTAGAGATGGAAGTTATAAGAAGATCAGAACTAATTAATCTGTTGATAGAAAACTTGTGTTTGAATCCCCTATACACAATTTTTGGTGAGGGTTAACCTGGCATGCCCATGAAAGATACTATTTAAACTAAAGCACTAATTAATTCTTTTTTTATTTTAAAGAAAATAAAAAATAACAACATAGACAAAAACAAAATAAAGCAAAACTGATAAAAATGATACAGGGTTTCAAAACAGAATGATAGGAGTTAACAGTGGTTGTTATATTACATATTGTTATCTTCAATGAAGTTGCTCAGATGACCAGATGTAAGAATGGAAGATTGATCAAACCACTAAAGAGAATAAAAAATAGTTAAAAAAACATTAGAAACAGTACAGAGTTTCACTAGACAAGATGTTAGGAATTCACCAATGATTGTTATATTGCATTTTGTTGTCTTCACGTTAATTGTTCAGATTACCAGATATAAGCACATAAAATGGTCAAAAAAATTTAAGCATTAACTGTTCCTTTCAATAAACCATTAGACATCAGCATCAGCAGTACAATTATCCCATATTTTCCCCCTTCTTTCTTTTTTTTTTCTCTCTTCCCTCATCCCAGTTGTTCCTTCCTCTGAGCAATTTCTTTCCCTTTCATAATATCTATTGTATATTTTGGGTTTTATTTACCCTTTCAGGTTCTTACATTAGGGAGACAATACGATGTTTACACATGTGGGTCCAATTTATTTCACTTATGAGTATGGTAAGCACTAATTAATTCTTATTCTCCTTTACACACACACACACACACACACACACACACACACATTCATGTCTGATGAACGGAGAAAAAGAAAAGGAGAACCCCCCCCCCAAAAAAAACACACATATACGAGAAAGAGTAAAAGTCTTTGGTTCTATTTACACAACAGTCAGATTTGACCAGCGTGCTCTTCCCTCTACATTTGTAAGTGGAGAAACTTTTGACTTACAGTGGTCATGGACGGGCTAAGCTCCAGCTCTCTGTGGTTGAGTCCAGGAAGTTTGCTGTGTCTACTGGTACTTGGAAAACTCCTACTATTTCTTTTCTGGGCTTTGAGTGAGTGAGGGAGACTGCGCCTCCTTTCCTCTGCTTGCAGTGCTTTGCTTGGTTTCAGTTGCGCTCCTGTGGGTGTGGCAAGCCAGAGGGATTTTTTGCTTTTTTTGGTTTTTTTTTTTTTTGCCTGTCTTGCGATCAAGTAACTTTAATAGTGTGAGGCTTGCACAGTAGGGTGGGGTAGTGCGACAGGTCAAGCACCCAGTTCCACTGATTTCTGAAGTGGTCATTGTTTTTGTTTTTGTTTGTTTTTGGTGTTTTGAGACAGGGTTTTGCTAGGTCAGATTGGCCTTGAATATTCCATGTAGCCTAAGCTGGCCTCAAACTCCTGGGGATTCTCCTGCCTCAGCCTCCTTAGTGTGAAAGGGCCTATTTGATCTCTGCTCCCTTCCCTCCACAATATCCTTGCACCCTGCAGCTGCCTACCCTTGCTCTTTCTATACCACTCTGAGAGCATACAAGTGCAACCCCCTCTGGCTATGCCACTCCTCTCCAACATTCCACCTGCAGTGAACTCTTTGTCCACATTCCACAGAGTCTCTATCCAACCTGTGGACACAGTGGGTCTTAGGGCTTGGAGAGCTCAGCAGCTTTTGATTGATGGGCACCAGAGTTCCCTTGTGGGCACCAACTTCTGCAGCATTGGGAGAGTGGGCAGTGGCAGGATATCCTCAGGGCCCAGAGCTCATTGGTACTAGTGGACCAATAGGGAAGTGCTGACTTTGCACTGCTCAAGTGTCTCTGTTCCTCTCCTGGATCACACTGGTCACAAATGCTGCCTGCTGCTGCTGCAAGTCACTGAACCACAGCTCTCTCCCTGCCTTGTTCCAGGTCCCTAACCAGGACTGTGTCTCCTTCTTTCTCAAGGACCCACTGGTCCTAACTCCACTGCCCTCTGAATGATTCACTAGGCATCTGTTTCTCTAGTGTTCTGATCTGCAAATATCTCATTTGCCTAGCTCCCCATCCCTGTGAGATGAGAGTTAGGATGGGTGGGCACTGACGTGTGGTATTTGCTAGTGCAGCACCACAGCTGCTACTGCTGTGCTTAGCTTCCTCCCCACTAAGGTTAGATTTTTCCCCAGATGGTGTGTTCTCGGACCTGGGGTGTAAGAAGTGCTGGGATCAAGGCTGGCGCAGCTTTTTTCTCTAACTTCGCTTGGTACTAGAATTTGTCTGGCAGGCTTCTTCTTCAAGTTGCCTTGCCATATTTGAGTCTTTGTTCCCCTCCAACATCCAAGTACCTGCCCCTCCCAGTGAGTGACTGCTGAGTGTCCCATGAGCACTGCTGCCCCTAGTCAGCCATGATGGGAACACAAACAAAAAGTCTATTTTCATTACTAATTTTTAACACCCAAATTTTCATCCTACCACAGAAATTTATTAAGTATATTCTTTGAAATAAAGTGTTCTAACTAGACTTATTTGATCAGCTCTTTGGTATCCTTTTGAGAATTCTGTTCTGCATGCTTTCAGTTTTGTTTGTCTTGCTTGGCGGTGGACATTTAAAATCAGGAATAATAGGACCAGGCCTGTCTTTGCTTAAACCTAGGACCAGCCACTATGCCTCATTTCATTATCTGTTGCTAAGAGAGAAAGAAATCTCTCAAGAAATAGTCAGAATGGAGTTTCAGAAAAATCTGCCTTTTCCATCAGATTATTTAACTCATGGAGTGCTACCTAGTCTCAAGGGTGCCAGTAGCTCAGGGCTGCTATGTTGAGGGTTAAAGGTCTCAGAGTGGAAGTTAGGAGGAAGAGAGTAAGTATTGCAAGGTTCCAGTCTACATTTCTTCCCCTATGCTATCAGCACCCCAGTTCAAACTACCATTCTCCTTTTGGCACAGTGTCATATCCTCCCTCTAGTTACAAAGAGGCACACCCTAGGGAACTCAGCTAGGTCAAAAGAAGAAGCAGCCAGAAAATATACAGTCAGTTTAAGGGCTGAGAGATCTGTAGCTTCCAGGTGTTTATTTAACCAACTAATCAACTGATATGTGGCACGCATTTTAGTAGACATTGTTGATAAAGAGGTGGGTTAGATATAGTCCAGCCAACAGTAAGTAGATTTCAAAACTTCAAGGCTGAGTAGGTAATTATCAATGCAGCTAATATAGTAAGAAGAGGTTTATATAGAGGGAGATTTAGGACACAAAGGAAGGTAGTTAACTGAGTCTGCTGGCGAGAAGTAGGGGTACAAATGAGGAAAGAAGGATTCCTGAGCTGAGTTTCACGCTAAGAAAAGGAGTTAGGCCGATAAAAGCTGGGAGTGGGAAGTGGTTAAGCCTGGCAGTAGGGACAGCGTGAATACAGATACATACAGGTATATGGGAGAAAACAAGAGAGTATAAGAAGTTTGGCTTTACTGGAGTCTCAGTATAAGTGGGAATGGAGGGGAGTGGAGGGAGGCTGAGGCTGAAGAGGAAGTCAGGATCCAATTTTAAAGTTTTACCCTTAGAAATGAATTTTAAGCATAGCCACATTTGCATTTGCAAAAGATCACCAGCTGTTCTTTGAAGGTTTGGGGACAGGTAGAATGGAAGTAAGATTCTCTGGGTGTCTGATGCAATAACTGCTTTAACATAGCAGTGCCAAGAGGGCTGGGATGCGCAGAGATGATTAAGGGCCTAGCGGCCACTGATAAAAAGAACAGTCAAGAGTAGAAGAACACTGATTTCAGAGCTTGTCATTTACTGATTTGGAGCTGCAGGAGATAGCTCAGATTTAAGAGAAAAAAAAATGAATTTATGTTAAAATTTCCTGAGTTTGAGGTGTCTAAAGTTGGATATGCAGATAAGGATGACTAACCTCCCATTGGATATAAGGATCTAGAGGTCAGGAATGGGGCCAGAATAAGAAAAATAGAAGAATAAAAGATTAACCAAACAAAAGCTAATACTGACTTATTCTGGCCTTTCAATATTTGAAAAGTTTTTGGTTTTGTTTCTGTTGTTGTTTGTTTTGGGTTTTGGGTTTTGTTTTTGTTTTATCTTGTAATTTAAAGCAAGCTACAGCCAGGCATGTGGGTGCAAGCCTGTCATCCCAGCTACTCTGAAGACTGAGGCAGGAGGATCACAAGTTTGAGGCCAGCCTGGTCAATTTAGTACCCTGTCCCAAAATTAAAACATTAAAAGGGTTGGGGGAGGTAGGTAGCTGGTCTCTGGGGAAGGAGAAAAGAAAGAGAAGAGAAAAGAAGGGAAGGAAGGCAGGAAGGAGAAGAGAAAAAGAAGGAAAGAGACAGAAAAGAGAGGAAGAAAAGAAAAAGAGAAAGAGGAAAAGAAAGAAAAAAAGGAGGAAGAAAGAAAGGGAAGGAAGGACAAAGTAAAAAAGATTACCGACCTGGGTGCTCTGTGCTAAGGCTGGGTCTGGCTTTCAATTAAGTAGTCTTGCTCTTACCGGCAAAGTCTGTAGCCACGCCCCACAGCGCCTGGCCACGCCCAGGCTGGCACCAGGCCACGCCCAGCGCACGCGACCTTGCACCTCGTGCTCCCTGCGGCACTCGGGTTGACAGTTGCTGGTCATCTCAGATGCGAAATTCAGATTTGCGTTTGGGACTGTGAGTCACTGTAAGTAACAAGTCCAACCTTGTGTTCCCTCCGGAGCATCACCGGAAACAGCAGGTTACATTAGATTAAGAGTCGCAGTTAAGCCTGAGGCACCTTGATGCAGGTCGATCTCTCACCCCTCGCTACAGGCCTGGCAGGGCAGGCGCGGGGAGCGCAGCACGCACCCCAGGCGTTTCCCAAGGCCTGCAGCTGTGAAGGCCTCCTTTATCTGTTTGTCCTCGCCGCCTGTCAGGTGTTTTAACCAACTTTCTAGTTGTCTTTGGCAGAGGAGATTAGTCTACTTATACTCTCTCAGTCCTGACCTCTACCACCAGGTTTTTACTTAACCAAGTAGGCGGGTGGCAGCACCCTGTAATGGAATGGGACAGGGTTTGGGAGACTAGGTTTTGAAGGGAAACCGGTCCAGTTATGGACATACTAACGTTGAGACGCTTGTGAAGAATCCAAGTGGGGGGTTTCAGTAGGCTGATGGATATATGAGTGTAAAAATAAAAGCGCTCTAGAAGGGAAATAATATTGTTCTGCCTCTTAGGATTGAATTTTTATGTGGACTTTGCTACTCTTGGAAGTGCACAGACTCAAAGTAAAGGATCTGTAGGTGTACAAAAACCGATTATGATAGTGATTCTGGTTAGGAAGCTGCCTTTTATTCAGTATCGTCAGTTCAGTCTCCTTCCAGTCTTAGAGCCCTTGTTCACATCTGCCACTGGACACGTCAGTGCATGTGTTTGTATGTTAGTTTCATTATCAACCATTTCCATCGTGATCATTTTTTTTCGATCATTGGTTTTTCTGGCTTTGCGGGGAGGAGGTCCTGGGAATTGAACCCAGGTTCTGGTGCATGCCTCCTAGGTAAGCACTCTGCCCGATAGACCTTCTGGCGTCTTCACATTGGTTTCTGGCTAAGTTGCACTGTTGTCAGAAAATATATTCTTAAAATGTCAGTTCTTTAAAGTTCATGTAAGCCAGTTACATGGCTCAAGATATGATCACCTTTTTTTTCCACTGCAGCCTTGTGCATTCTAGGTAACCACTGCTACTGAGCTACATATCCAGCCCATACAATCACTTTTAATAAATTGTCCTGTGACCATTTGAAAAGAATATATTTTCTGCAGTTAAGTATAATGTTCTATACATGTTAATTAAGACTACCTTGTTCATTGTTAAAGTCATCTCTTCACAGATTTTTTGTCCACTTACTCTGTCCTTTACTGAGAGATGTTCTTCACCATGATTGTGGATTTATTTCTCTTTTACAGACTGTGATTGAGTACCTACAAGATGAAAAAAAATTAAGTCATTTTTCACCATTAGAGAATGACCTTCTTTATCTCCAGTAATGTTTTTTGCCTTAAGGTTTACTTCGTGTGGTGATCACCTGGTGAGGTGGATTGTATCATTTCGCCCCAGTTCTTCATCCTTCTTTTAGTTACACCCTTCATATTGATACCTTTTGCCAGGAAACTTTACTTCTAGAGATTCCCAGCTGTCCCAGTTCTGATGTTTACTTTGGGTTCAATAAGTAACAGATGTTCCTTGAAGCAGGAGTTTGAAATGGGCTTGTACATTGAGATTTGCTTTTATGGACAACTTCCATCACTAGAAGAACATACTTAGTTGGTTAAGGACACATACTGCCGAGTCAGTTTCCCCCAGTCCTGGTAGATGCAGTTAGCCTACATCAAGGCTACAGAACAGCTAGAACATTGAATTCACATGTGTGAGCAGTAAACTATCGTTATACGGTACAGTAGTTGTATTTTTGCCTGTGGTTGATATGTGGCATTATCCTGGCAATAAAATCTAAATACTTATTCAAGAAGTATCTTTTACTCCCCTGCTCCCCGATGGCACTAGGAATGGAAACCAGGGCCTTACACGTGTTAGGCAAGTAGTTTAGCACCGAGTCACATTCCTAGCCCTCTTTTACTCTTCCTTTGCAGTAATTTCAGTCTCAATACACCAAACACTTACAAGAGTATATGGTTGGATCCTGTTATTTTCATAAGGTTAGGCAATTCTTTTGTTTTTAAATTTAAGCATTTAGTCTATTTACATTTAAAGTAATTACTGATGTTTTCATAGGTTTACATTTGGCCACTGTCCCTGTTGCTTGAGTGATTAGGCTTTCTCTGTTTTCCTGGTGTGTATTCCATTTCCACCTTTATCTTGCTTTCCTTTGGGTTATTTTACTTTCTCTAGCTCTACTGAGGCATAATTTGATACAATAACCTTCGCATATTTAAAATATACCATTAAGATTACTCTGGCATAAGGGGTGAATTTGGGAAGGCGAGTCTGATTGCAGAGACTCATTCGGAAGCTACTGAAATACTTGGAGCACTTGAGCTGGGGAAGTGAACAGGAAGTGAAATTAGGAGAATGAGATCATCTCCAAGGGCTCTACTGGATCTATAGATCTTTCATTTCAGGCTTTAAGAGGAGAAACTGAGTAATCCAAAATTGACCATGTTAGGATGAGTTATAGACACCCCAAAGATGTCCACATTGTAATCTTCAGAACCTGTGAATCCCATAGTCTCATCACGTCACGATAAAAAGTATTTTGCAAATATGATTAGGGTAAAATGACCTTAAGGTGGGGGGGTTATACTATTCAGGTTGGTCCAATGTAATAACATAGGCCCTTAAGAGGGAGAGGGGAAGGGTTCAGAATCAAAGAGCAGGAGATCTGATGATGGAAACAGAAGTTGTGAGAGAAGCGCAGACATACACACTCAGAGACAGACAGAAAGACAGACAGAGTGGAAGATGCCACAGTGCCAATTTTGTAGAGGAAGGGGCCAGCATCCAAGGAATGCAAGTGATCTCTAAGAAACTGGGGGAAGCAAGATATTGGGTTGTCCCTTAGGGCCTTCAGAAGCAGTCTTGCTACCACCTTGATTTCTACCCAGTGAAACTCATTTTGAAGTGCTGATCTCTAGCACTGTAAGTTAATAACTTTTTCTAAGCCACTAAGTTTGTGGGCAATTTGTAACAGCAGCAAGAGGAAACTATTACAAGATTTTTTCATAATCCTTTGGTCTATGAGAACATCTTAATTCTTTTGTTTGACTTTTATTGGGTGCCTACTCTGTATCAGTTTTCCATGCTTACCACACATCAGAGAAGATTAAAAAGGCCCTCTCTCCCATGGAACATACTTAGTAAGAGTTGAAGTGAAACAATAAACAGTAAATATATCAAATGAGCAAATTATACAGTCATAGAGAACACAAAAGCCCAAGATGGCTGCAGGTATAATTTAGGCTGTGAAGTGGGGTATCCAGTAGGCAGTGGGTCACCAAGACTCCAGCACAGGTGCATTTATCAATTTCCCGGTGTAAATAACTTATGTAACCACTCTGCCCATATAAGTCTGGTACTGGTGGACAGTCACTGTTGTGTGTGCAGTGGCCGAGAGCCCCAAGAGTGCTTAGACAGATAGGGCAGTGCTGGGTGGCTGGGCAAATACAATGGTGGCTGAAAATAAAGATGTCTAATCCAGTCCATGGCTCTGTGTCTCTTCTTTGGGCTGCGCAAGTATCAAGTGGGCCTCCCCAGTCTGAACTAGTGACAAGACAGTTGGAAGATTGTGACAGGATTTGCCTCAGCCCAGGCTAAGGCAGAAGCCTCATTAAGGGAAAATGGCAACGGGGAGTTGAAAGAAGAGGTATACGCTCCTCATAGATCACGCCCAGAGAGAACGCACGCTGCTGAGATGATGAAGCTCACCAACACAGACAGCTTGGGGGCTGAAGATACCAAGCTGCTTCATTATGGAAAGGCCCGCTGGGTGGTGATACTGACAATGAAAGCAGAGAGCCACAACCCAGCAAGGCCATGGAGGTAAAGAAGGGCGCCAGCGGGCCAGGATGGGGGTAGAGCCCACCTGGAAGGCTTCGGGCCGAGCATGGAGCACACACTGGAGACATGAGTGGGATCAGTCCAGGTTCATGTTAGAACCCCAGACAGCTGCTGCAAGGGAAGCACGGCTTCAGGCCTGAGACCACAGGTTGATCGACTGATGCATGCAGCACCGCGGACAGTCTGGAGAGACTCCAGAGAACAGCCAAACGCTGCACATGGGTGGCAGATATGAACAGAACCGGTGCAAGTTGTACGGGGGCTGAACACGGGACACTTACTGCTAGTGGCAATGGCAGAGGCAGTTGGCCAGTGGGGGTTGGGAGGAACTCCACCGATGCTGCTGGGGCACTGGAACCGGCAGTCACCAGGAGCCAAGAGACAGAGATAACACTGCGAGTGAACCCAAGGCCAGGTGGAGGGGCAGCTGCAGTGCAGTAGGAGCACTGCTGGCAGCGCTGGGAGATAGTAAGGGCTGCAAAAGGAGTGAGGAGTTCAGGCAGTATGGAGGCAGAGGCCCGAACAGACTGGGAGAAAGCGGTCAAAATAGGTGGCCCATACACAGATGTGGATCGACTTCCTCCTGGCAGGCATGGACAGAAAAACGTAACAAACAGCTGAATGATATGCTCTCAACCCTTTGAGGGCAATTACACCCGCTCAACTGTTCCAAAAGCAGGAGGCTCCGCAGCAGAAGTGAACAGCCAGACCTGGCATACACTTGTGAGATGACGTGGCCTCTGTGGATGACGTTGCGCAGGTGTTTTAATTCTGACTAAGGACAAGGCCCAGGTGCCCAGTTAGGGGGGACACCAGAAGACTGCAGCACTCATGTTGAACTTGCTATTCATTGGTCCCCCACAAGTGTTTAATGTGTCAGTGGACAGCAGGGAAGACTGTGGTCTGATTTGTGGTAATCCTGAGAAATTCCTGGGTAAGATGGCCTAGGTAGATGGCTACAGAGGTCGTGCCATCAAACTGAAACTGATGACAGTGACCTTGGGGGTAGGCCCTCTGCCTCCTTGAGTCTATGCCAAGCACGCTTCCCTGTACCTGAGTACTTCCTGGGTGTGGCCGTCCTCCAGGGATTGAGATTGCAAACCCCGATGTTCTCTGCTGAGAGTCAAGAA